AATAACGCCACGTGTATGATATTTCGGCGACGTATTTCGAGATTATCTGCATAACGATTAGCGGATTTTCGGTATTCTCTTTCGATATTCCGTTACGGGATATATATACGTACAATTTGCCAGGAATATCTAATATTATCGCTCTGCAAAGATAGTTCGAAAATTTCTTGGCTTGACACAGAAATGACGCCACAAATATCAAACTGCTATAATTTTAAACAAGTTTGATCGCACAAAGCTGCTATTAAAATTTCAGACAGATCCATTTAGTCTCTGTTTCTGTCGTATAAAACAAACACCTTTTTATTCCATCATGACAATGCACTCGCTCACGTTTTTTCAAATTGCAGTCGCAAAATTGCAAGAATTGTCCTTTGAATTCACACGCACTGTATTCAACAGATTTATGATTTATCCCCCAATAACTTTTTCCTCTTTCTAAACGTAAAGAAGTGGCTCACAGAAAAAATTTGGCTCAAATATTAAAGTAATTGGTGAAATTAATGTTTACTTTCTTTTAGAGAAATCGTATTATACAGACGATATAAAAAAAATTAAAATATCATAAATGCATTCAGTTAAAAAGGGATTAATTTGGAAATTTGAGAAATTTGCCAAATTAAGTGTTGTCTTTTATCGTACCCAGAACTTTCCAAACTACACTTGTAGCAGCAAATAAATGCAAGAAATTGCAACGAGCGCGAATAGTAGCAATCATAAATTACGGACAAGTTCGAGTGACCGCGTAATCAACACATAAAAGGAACGGTTTTGTTGAAATATCTAAACATTTAGCTAGATTGAAATCTGAACATAGTTCTGTTGAATCATCGAAAATTTATGTAAAACACATGAGTAGTGCAGCATAAAACTTTAAAAATTAATTTAAGCGTTCCACATAATTATTTTGATAGTCTAAACAAAATTATTTTCAAATCTGCACTAAGAAAAAAGTTACGGTAATGAAAACGCCAAGCATAATTTTATTCTGTAGAAAGTGAGAGATATATGACGCCATTATATGTAACTGTTTTATTTCGGTAACAAATTTATTAATTTTTAATTACAAAAGATCTCTGACCATCATAGAAAATAGTTCAATTATTAGTTTACTTAATAAATTCAACAAATTAATATCCACGTGGTAATCAACGGTTTAATTGGTCACATATCAATAAATAATTTTTGTGCCGGTATCAACAAAAAGTTCGGACATTTCTCTTAGTATGTACGTGGTTAAATTTTTAGATACTTCAACAAAATCGTTTTTTTCCATGCAAGCTGATATCCGCGGTATTTGTTACACTCTCAGCTTTAACATCGTGCTGCAAAATCCGCTGGAGCGATTCCCAGGGATGATCGGTGCATCCTGCAGAAAGCGAGAGATATTTAACGTGGGCGAAAGATAGGTCAGACCGTAAAAAGCCGCGATGCGCGCGGTTTATGCATGTGGGGACATACATACGCGATTCACAAGGCGAGTCACTCCTCTTTCTCTCTCTCTCTCTCTCTCTCTCTCTCTCTCTCTCTCTTTCTCTCTTCCTCTGACATCGGCTGCTTCAAAAGGAGCAGCCAGGTGAAGTGTATCCCGCGTACTCGGCACGGCGGAGGCCACCTTCGTGCACGCACGAGTAGTTCAGGTGGCATCGATGGCTCTCGCAAAGCAGTTATTTTTAGTTCAATTTAAACGCTCGAACGGCACCATAAAGCGAGTATACGCCACGTATACGATATAATATAATATAACTAACGGGCGCGATGGAGGAGGGAGAATGGAGAACAGGGTCTACAGGGGAAGAGGTTTTCGCGCGAGCTCGCGGACAAACGTCGTCGCCGGGATCGTTAAAAGCGTCGTTACTTCGCGGTAGAAACTTTCGCGTCTCGTCACGGCGAGAGGATATTTTTCTCAAATGCCCATAGATTACTTCATAATTCCATGAAACGTAAATTCCTCGTCATCATATCGGGCATGAAGATGGCCGTTTATCGCCCCCGCTGCGATTCTCCTACTCCTATCCTTCTCCCTGAGGACCAAACGTCGCACAGATTAGCTCTTAACTGCTGACGTTGATAAACTCCCTCGGTCGTGTAACGTGTTAAAAGTTGGAAAAGCTGTTTCGTGCGAACGTTCTTTCGAAGAAAGAGAAAAATTCTATCGAAATACTTTACGAAGTTCTATATTCGGCGGAATATCGTCGTTACTGCTTCAGATCGCGTTTATCGGTCGAACCGAGAATATTTCAATAGAATGGGTCTAGTCAGATTTCAACATGCGTCTTTGAATTTCGATGATTTGTTTGATAATAAAATTAACAATAATTTTAATAAGAGATAATTAAATAAGTTAATAAAATAAAATAAATTATTTAATAAAATAATTATTTAATAATTATTATCGAATTTATTTACTAATATTTAGCGAATACACAAAATGAGATTTTCCTCAACTGGACCTATAAACCACGCTGCGTGCTTATGCCTCTTCTGAGAAACTTATAGTAATAATAACTATGTGAAAATAAAAACAGCTAGAATATTTCGGTTATAAAACGAGCATTATACTATGAATCCGTTTAGTACTCGTTAAAATCGTTTTTCAGATTGAAATCTCACTCAAAGCAAATAAAAATTCTCTTCAATTGATAGTAAAAATGCAGCTGTTCGATATGAAGTGACATTTTACTTTTCGTAAGGATGAATTTACCGATCATATGTAAATGTTTCATTCGTTTGAAGTAAAACATCAATCAAGATGACTTCAAAATGAGATCAAAAGTTTAAACACAAAAAAATTTAAACTCAATATATATGTGAATATTTAATTTCAATCATAGTGAATGTTTCATTCGTTTAGAGATGGCTTGAATATGTGACTGAGTTTTAATCTAAAAAAATATTTAGGCTCAGTGTAAAATAAATTCTTTTATTGACATTTTATTTCTGGAAAAAGTGCTGCCGATATTTATTTACGTATAATATCGACAAAATGCAATATCGATACGACGAGAGAAGTACATCAGTATCATGATGTAAGAAGACCAGGTGCACGATAGTGTATCATGACCAGGTGAACCAATTTCAAGGAAGCGCAATCGTTCAAAGTAAATAATGACGATATTTGCGACCAATCAAATTGGCTTCAAATTTTATTAGCCGATTAAAGTCGCTATTAAAAATTTGGCACTAATCTGCAGAAACTTGCGCCAAATTATATTCAGCTATTATTATATAATGTTACACACCTGGGGTCTGGTTTTTATATCCTTCATTATAAAACTGCACTTCCTT